AAAGCTTTTGTAGACAAGCAAGTAACCAATGCCATGTATGATACTCCACTTCCATATCATCAAAGACACTGTTTTTTTTTTTTTAAAAAAAACACATAGGTCATAAAAGGCCAGATGGTAACACTCTCACTGGACACTTTATTAGGTACACCTTGAGAGTAACAGGGAAGACTTCAGTGCCGCTTTAAATCTTTGCAGTTAAATTTTTATTATAATGTTGTGATGTTATTTGAGTTACTGTTTCCTTCCTATCAAGTCAAAGCAGTCTGGCCATCCTCTGACCTCTGACATCAAGAAGAAGTTTTCATGCAGAGAATTGGATATTTTCTCTTTTTCAGTCCATTCTCTGTAATCCCTGGAGATGGTTGTGTGGGAAAATCCCAGTAGATATATATATCTGAAATACAACAAAATATTAAATTCTTTGTGGAATCCATTGACACTGCATCCCGTTAGCACACAAGTGAAATAATATTGTGTTTTAAATTATCACCAGTCATTGCATTCTACTTTCAGTTACATTGTGCACAATATCCTGACCGTTTTAGAAACAGGGTTGTAGTATATTTCTGTTCTAACACAGTGTCAGAGTCAGATATAACAACCAAAAACAAAAACATATAAACAGATATTAATTTAATGTGTTTTTATCAACATAGGACTGTATGAATCTGTCCCGAATTCGACAAGTGGCACAAAAACAAACCAATGGAGGCCCCAGTAGAGTGCAATCAGATGAAGAGTTTATTAAGAACACACATGCGGGAAGAAGTACACAGCATCACATCAGCATATGTCTTCTGCCCAAAAATACACAGAGAATGGTTTATATATCATCAGGGTTTGACGCCCCCTCTTGCATTGTATAACATATTTTTGTATTTCTAAGGACATCTATTTAAAAATAGCTGTGCAAAACGGAGTGTGCCCGCTCCGACCAGCTTTAAAGGGTTAAGAAACAAATACTAAGACATGTCTTTTTTCTCTTAAGAGTTGCTGATTAAAATGGTGTTTGAGTGTTGGACGTTGTGGAGCTAGGGCTGGACAGTTGGACGTTAAATCAAAATTGTGATTAATTAAACATTTTCCTCAGGTTCGAATAATGAATGATTATGATTGTAAGGTAAGCACACAAAAACTAGGTTTGTGCTGTAAATATACTGAACCACTAAAACTGAGATAGTTTTGGTATTTTCCCATAGTTGTCTTCTTTTTGTTTGATGTTGTCTTTACTATAGCCACATATATGTCCAAGCAATGGAAATGGTAATTATATTTGGCAGTGTTTTATGTTTCCTCCATGAAGGGGGTCATGCATGCCACAGACTGGACATAGACTGGACATAGCAGAGATAGTACATAATGGATGAAGAATATGATTCATTTTTGACTTACTGCCCAACCCTATGTGGTAAATTGTTTACAATAAGTAGCCCATCTTTAAGCATCAACTGACAAATTTGTTTGATTTCTTTCCTTCTTTCAGAGCTCTAGAAACCCAAACATAAAGGGTCTTGAGAAGACTTTCAGGATAGATGTTTTCCTGATGTTTTTCCTGAGAGACAACTGTAAAGCATACAAATTTTTGAAAAAACAACTGTCGTCAATCGGCTGCACAGTGGAGCTAAATTTTGATGAAGAGGAGGTTTTGGTTAGAGGAGAGGTTGACAAGGGTCCAGGAGGAGGTTTTGGTGGTGCTGCAGAGAAATGGGAGTATCAGGTGGATCAGGTCTTTGTCCAGCTCACCGAGACCTACCTCTGCTATCATGTGCTTGAGCCAAAACAGATGAAAATGGTACTGCAGGACTCGGCCTTTAAGACAGATGATATCAAAGTTTACACAGAGAGTGGCTATGCTGTGGTTGTGGGAGAGGTTGATGCC